AAGAGGGGGAAGGAGGAGCTGATAGGAATGATGACTGTATGAGCCCACGCAAGGAGAACGAATAACAGAATTGCAGGTGAATGGATACATTGGGTGGGGTAAAAGATGAGGTGGCCAAATATATATATAAAGTGTAATAAGGGCACCTGTGGTGTAGAGAGGGGATAAAGGGGAGCTGATATTAAAGAGTTCAAGGGGAAGAAAATGTTTTGAAACTGATGGTGGTAGCAATTGTAAAATTATGCTTGACCTAACTGAATTATGGATTGTTATAATATGTGTAAGAGCTCTCAATAAATTAATAAAAAAAAGATTTGTTTCCACAAATTGGCGATTTTCTTTGAAAATAATGTAGATCCATTTTAACTTCACAGAAGTAGCTTTCATATATGGAAATTTTCATTATATATAATAAGTAAATACATATATGTATATATGTGTATATATACACATAAATATATTTATATAAAAGTATATATTTATATAAAAGTATATATTTATATATTTAAGGAGAGAGAAGCGGGCTGTTTTTGGCCAAGAGCGAATATGGGCAAAAGTATGAAGGACACAAGGCATGGCTCCCTCTTTCTTCTCTCTGGCCTGTCTCCACTCCCTGTGGCCCCAACCCCCTTTTCATGACCAACAATTCTCAAGCCTCCACAAGGCCCAGAGTAGGCAAATAGGTACTTGGCATTCGGCTTAGTCATTACTGCTTGGTTAGTACTGCTTAGGTCTTATGCTTCAGGAGTTGATCATTTTGTGTGTGTTTAAATCATTTTTATTGGGGGCTCGTACAACTCTTATCACAATCCATCCATTGTGTCAATACATTGGTACATTTGTTGCCATCATCATTAGTTCATTTTTTAAAGCATAAAAAATATCCCTTAAAGATACTTCCAGCCTCTGCAGGATAAAATACACGGAAGGGAGCCTCAGGGTTTTTTGCAGGTTGTCTGGAAGGTGTGCTCAACAGGACACTCCATGGAGAGAGAGTACTTTGTAGGATGTGGCAGCCATGCCGTTCCCAGAGCCCCGGGCTCGGTGGGGGTCGCGTTAGGAACTCAGAACGTGCGCACACTTTGTACCAACCTGAGACCATCTCCCTTTACTGTACAGGAGGACCATTGACCTAGACCAAAAAGGACTTTTTGTTAAGAAAGCATTAGGCCTTTGGGTATTTGGGCTCAAATCGAGTTTTCCTTATTTAGAGAAAAGGAAAAATTGGCTTGGGTGGTAGGTTATCTAAAACACTGGACCCCTTCCTCTGACGATGAAATCCAAGCCTGTCTTGTTTTTGCTGCCATGAATATTAAATGTAGTCCGATGACTGTAGGCTATCCACCTTGTTCCACAGCGAGTACTCACTGAGTTGAGGCTGCATCTTTATGCCTGCGGCTTCAGGAAGGTCTTCTCAGAAGCTAATGATGAGGGGGAGGTGGGAGCAGACAGACAGGGGACAAGTGGGCTGCAAACCACAAGGTCAGTTGTTTGTAAGCACCAGTTCCTGCAAGGGAGAAAGATGAGGAAGGATTTCTACTGCCCATAAAGAGTTACACCGAGGAGCCTGGTGGTTAGAGCGGTTACTCATAGGGTTTCGATCCGAATGGTCAGCAGTTCAAAATCACCAGCAGCCCGGAGGATGAAAGCCTGTGGGCTTTCTACTCTCGGTAACAGTTATAATCTCGGAGGACCCCCCCCAAGGGGGTTGATATGAGTCAGCATTGTCTCAGTGGCAATAAGCGTGATTTTTTTTTTTAAGAGTTACAGTCCTGAAATCCAAAGGGGACAGTTCTACCCTGTCCTATAGGGTCACTGCGAGCTGGAATGGACTTTTGGCAGTGAATTTGGTTTGGTATGAGATTTGCCACTAAGAACAGCACCGGCAGCATTACAGACGGGACCCCGTAGTACATTAGAAACCTGAGCTTGATGTATTGTCTCTGTTAGAAGATGTCGTACTACGTCACTGTGAAAGTGAGACCAGTGGCTTAGACCTCGATGAAAATCTCCAGGCATTTTGGCCATACTCCTTACCGATCACAACGTATGTTGTTGTTGGGTGCCGTCAAGTGAGCCCCGACTGTTGGCGACCTGCGCAGCGGGCCCTGTGTCACCCCCAGAGTCCAAGCCCTTTGCTGCAGCCGCCGTGTCAGAAAATCGAGACCATGAGTCCTACAAGGAGGAGAATCCTGATGCTGTGGTTGAATGTGCATTTTATAATCCCCGGTAGAGCTTCTGCTAGTCAGTGTCCCCTGACCCGCTAAGGTAGAAGACTTCCCAGTGAGCACTGACATGGAGTCCGGGGTCATTGTAGGATGTTTGGGTGAGCCATGAAGGAAAAGCGGCTCTTTGAAAAGTGTCACCTTCCCAGAGAGGACTTGGACTTTGGAGTGGGACCAACCTGGTTTCAATCCTTGCCCGTCACCTGCAAGTCCTTGGGCTAGTGCCACTCGTCTGTAAATCCCATCGCACCCTCTAGCACATGCTGCTTTCCCAGCTGCCCCTCACCGCAGCCAGCAACTCTCGGTGACGTCCACACACAATAGAATGGAATGACTGGGCCATTGCAATCCCTATGGGTTTTCGTTGGCCAGATTTTAGAAGTAGATCGCCAGGCCTTTCTTCCCAGTCCTTCACAGGTACTTAATCATGCTACCCTTCTCGGTTCTGTGGACATTTGCATACTTCTCCTAAGACAGTCTTTGTCTCCCTTGATGGCATCATGGGTTAGGAGTTGGGCTGCTGTGCACCAGGTCAGCAGTTCGAACCTACCAGCTCCTCATGGGGAGGAAGGTGAGGGTGAGGCTTTCCGTTCCCCCAAATATTTCCAGCTTTGGAAACATCCCTCCACCCTGGGGCAGTTCCACTCTGTCTCGTCGTGTGGCCACCGTGAGTCAGAGTGGCCTCGATGGCGGTGAGTTTGGTATTTATTCGCGTCTCTGGGTGGCGCCTTCCCTATGCACTGGAGTATTACGGAGATTCGTTTTTAGCCCATCAGCGCCCAGGCCGCCTGTGTGCCTGCACCCTGCAGTAACGCGCCTCCCCCTCTCCTCGTAGGTGCCCGAGATCATCAGCTCCATCCGCCAGGCCGGGAAGGTGGCCCGCCAGGAGGAGCGCCACTGCCCCTCGGAGTTTGACGACGCCTTCGCCAAGAAGTTCGAGGTGCTCTTCTGCGGCCGCGTGACCGTGGCCCACAAGAAGGCCCCGCCGGCGCTGATCGACGAGTGCATCGAGAAGTTCAACCGTGTCAGCTGCAGCCGGAGAGCCGCCGCCGCGGACCTGCCGCCCGGGAACTCGGAGAGGCCGGCCCCCGTGGGGGGCTCCGGGCCCGCCGAGCCGGGCCGCCGCGCCGGGGAGCAGGGCCGGCAGCCCATGCGGAAATCCTTCTCCCAGCCCGGCCTCTGTTCCCTGGCCTTCAGGAAGGAATTCCAAGACGGAAGCCTCAGAGGCAGTCGCTTCTTCAGGTCTTTCGAGGAAAACGACACGGAGAACCACCTCCTTGGTGGACACAATGTCGTGCAGCCGACGGACATGGAGGAAAACCGCACTATGCTCTTCACGGTAAAGGAATCCCGCATCCGCATCCCATGCGCATGCGTTCCGTTGCGGGCAAGCCACAGGGGGGACCATGTGCTGCGCGGAGCCTTCTCAGTCAGCCGTGTGGACTCCATCCATCCTGTGCTCCTGCTATGGTCCCGACTTCCCCTGGGCCGTGGCAAACCCTCCGAGGGGCATTGCAAGAGAAATCATATGTTCCTTTGTGATTTGTAACCCCTTCCTCCCGTAGGAGCCCGGCTGGCATGGCGGGTTCACATTGGGCTTCTAACCAGAAGGTCAGCAGTTCAAAAGCAGAGTTGGCCTCTGCAGGGGAAAGATGAGGGAGGCTTTCTACTCCAGGAAAGAGTCTCCGTTTCAGAAACCCACAGGGACAGTTCTGCCCTCTCCTATAGGGTTACTCTGAGTTGGGGTCAACTGGATGGCAGTAGTTTTTTTGTGTTTCTTTTTCTCCTTCCATGGTTGCAAAGACGCCTCTTTCAAAGGGCCGGAGAACATGTTTATGATATGTGGGAAAGGCCCCAAAGGGGATTTCTTTTTTTTCTTCTTTAACTCGTGTCTTCATCTCAAGTAATGCATTTTAACCACATCCTTTAGTTGGAAGATGCCTCTCTCTGAATTAAGGGCCCTGGTGGTGTAGTGGGTTATCCATTGGGCGGCTAGCCAAAGGCCAGCAGTTCGATACCACCAGCTGCTCCAAGGGAGAAAAACGAGGCTTTCTACTCCCATAAAGGTTCACAATCTCAGAGACCCACAGGGGCAGTTGCACTCGATGGCGGTGAAGTTTTTATTTTGCTGGTTTTGTTTTTTCCCTCTGGATTATGGTCGTTAATTAAAAAAATGTGTACTCCTTGTTGATTGAGCTCAGGGTGATTATCAGGATGAGTGGTTGACGTATTTGAGATTCACACCCAAGTGGAAATAGTTTAGACAACTGCTTCTTTTTATCCAGTGTGGGAAAAAGACTAAGATGGTGGCCAAATGGCAGAAAGAGAATGGACAGGGCAGCCATCCCTGGATTTGGCGGTTCCTGGATCCCCAGCAGAACCAGGGCTCTACTGAGCGGATTTTGTACTCCACTGGGGCTCCGCTCCCCCCCCC